GAAATTCTCAATAAATTATTTATTTTTTAAAAAATCAAAAAGAAATTGAGGGGCTGGAGAGATAGCTCGGCGGTTAATAGCACTGGCTGCTCTTCTGGCTGCTCATGCAGAGAACTTGGGTTTGATTCTCAGCACCCACATGGCCACCAACAACCATTCTCCATAACTCCAGTTCCAGAGGAATCCAAAGCCTTCTGATTTTCATGGGCATTGCACATGGGTGCACTTACATACGTGCAGGCAATACACTCATACACATAAAATAAAAATAATAAATAGAATATTTTTTTAAAAAGAAATTGGCCTTTTAAGGTTTCCTACTTTCTCTTGAATCAAATTTAAGAAGTACACTTTCCTGGAAAAGCATTAATTTTAAGGGACTTTTCATATCATTAGCACAAAGCTAGTTGTATCTTTCCCTGGCTGTATCCTGTCTTGGCCCCACTTCGTCCTGACTACCATGACACGAACTGCTCTGTAGTGCCCTCCCCACCATAAAGGACTGAAGTCTCTGAAATTGTGAGCCACACAAATCCTTCCTGTTTCTAAGCTGTTTATGCCAGGCATTCTGTTACAGTTCTGAGAAAACTAACAGACTGTAAAATATCCCTTCGGAAAAGCAGACCCCATCCTGGCATAGGTAATGCCAGAGAAATTTGAAGCCGGTGGTATACTGAAAGCAATCAAAGCAATAACTGAAAATCTAAAGTCAGCTCAGCTCTAACAGAAATTGAACTCGCCTCAACCTCTACATCTCTACTGTCCTATATATTATGTCCAGCACTGAAGAAAAGTGTGAGGTACCCAAGACATTTTCAAAGGACCTATTGTTAAGAAACAAAGCAATTGAGCCAGATGTGGTGGCACATGCCTTTAACCTCAGCACTTGGATGGCAGAGGCGGGTGAATTTCTATGAGTTCCAGGCCAGCTGGAGCTACAATAGTGAGACCCCATTTCAAAAAAAATGAAATAAAAAGAAACAAGCAGCAGACAAAAGCAAACTGACAGATGACCCAGGTATAGAAATATCTGATGGGAGATGAAAACGATGATCAATGAGTTAAAGGCTGTAGGAAAAGTGGACAATATTAGTGACCAGATAGACAATTTTAGCAGAGATAAGTGAGGAAGGATCAAATGAGGCTGAGGGTATAGCTCAGTGGCGGAGAGGTACACACTGTAAGGAGGGGAGTTTGCTCCCCAGAACCTGAAAAGTGAAGGAAGCAGAGGAAGAGGACTGGAGGAAAGAGGAGAGGATCTAACGGAATGCTAGGGTGACACACGGTAACAGATGGCAAATCTCTCCTCAATTGATCCATGCATAGACTCAACACAGTCAAGGAAGTAATCATCAAAAGGGAAGTAGGGCAAAAGAAATGACTCAGTGAAATGCAAAGAAAAAAGACAACAGCAAGACAGGGTCAGATGGTGTGACACGTGGAAGTTGGTGACACTGGAGAAGGGAAAGAGAGGTAATAAAGGTTGGAAGAAATGATGGCTCGAAATTATCCCAAAGTATAGCATTAATCCAGTTTCCCAAACCTCAGAGAGCCTCAATCAAGATAAACATAACCCCTATTTACATCTATCATATTAAAACAACTGAAAAGAAAAGATGAAGCCAGGCATGGTGGTACATGCTTATAATCCCTGCATGTGAGACTCAGAAAAAAAACAAAAAAAAAAAAATTTTTTTTTAATTAAAGAAGAAGAAGAAAAAAAAAGATAAGAAGCCGGGTGTGGTAGGTGTATGCCTTTAATCCTAGCACTTGGGAGGCAGAGGCAGGTGGATCTTTGTGAGATCAAGGCCAGCTTGGTCTACATAGCAAGTTCCAGGCTACAAGGAAGCCCAAAGAAAGCAGGTGAAACTCACAGTCCACAGAGGGAGTAAAAGAATCATACCTCCCCCAAACTATGGGGTACAAAAGGCAAAAGAGAGGTATCTCTAAAGTGCTGGGGAACAAAAATAACAGCCAAAATGTGCTGGATGCTTTAACGTCAATTTGACACACCTGGGTTGAGGGAGCCTCAGTTGGGGATGCCTCCATTGGCCGGCCTGTGGCCATGTCTGTGGGGCATTTTCTTGATTGATGAGTGATGTGGGAGGGCCCAGCCCACTGTGGGTAGTGCCACCCTTAGGCAGGTGGGCCTGTGTTACATAAGAAAGCAAGCTGAGCCAGGGGAGCAAGACAATAAGCAGCATTCCTCCATGGCCTGTGTTCCAGCTCCTGCCTCCAGGTTCCTGCCCTGAGTTCCTACCTTGGGCTCCCTGATGAACTGCGACCTGGGAGTTGTAAGCTGAATAAACCCTTTCCTCCCCAAGTTGGTAGTGGGCAGAGTGTTTTATCACAGCAATGAAGAACAAACTAGGACACAAAATAATATACGGTGAAGAGGTTTTTTTTAAAAAAGAAAAAAAGAATAATAAACAGGGTTGTTTTCAGATACATACTTACTACAAGAAGGAAAGAAATAAAGGTAGCTGAAATAGTTAAAATGAAGGGTTTTTTTTTCACAACAGAGCAAAACAGCTCTTGCTAAAAGGTGATAAGTTATTTCTGCTTTTTGTATTGTGAAGCAAATATATTATTTCATGGTTATGTCTTTGAAATCTCATTTGAAAGACAGAAGCAACATATGCAGAATTCCAGACTGCACTGTATGACACTAAGGCAAAAGTCATCCCAGCTCCCAGGCCCCTCCACAAAGGTACAGCCTCCTTCCCAGCTCTGCTGCTAGCAGCACCAAGATGATGCAGGTTTGAAGGCGGAAGCCACATGCCTGGGTCTGAGTCCTAGGTTGTTGTTGTTTGCTTTTTTTATTTTATGTGTATGAGTGTATTGCCTGCACGTGTGTAAGTGCACCGTGTTGTGCAATGTCCGTGGAGGTCAGAAGAGGGTATCATATCCCCTAGAAGTTATGGATGATTGTTAGTCACCATATGGATGCTGGGGTTCAAATCCAGATCCTTTGCAAGGGCAACCAGTGCTCTTAACTGCTGAGCCATCTCTCCAGCCCTGTTGTTTGTTTGTTTGTTTGTTTTTTAATATAAAGTCTATGTACTCCAGGCTGCCCTTGAACTTCTAGGCTCAAGTGACTGCCGGTCTCCCAAGTACCTGGACTACAGGTATGTACCATCACGCCTGTCTTGAATCTGAGCTGTATTAGCCATGTGACCTCGGGCAAGTTGTTTAGCAGTTACCACCTCAAGGTTTGCCATCTGATAAAGAGAGTAATGGTACTGAATAGTACCCACTCTTGACTACATTGCAGACTCTTTGAATTCACCACAAATGTTCTTTCTCCCTTTGGGGCTCTATCTCAGAATTCCACATCATATTTATTACATGTATCTCCCTAGTTTCCTCCACTGTGTGCTTTGGAAGAATCCTGGTCAGATGTTTTGTGAAATGTCCCTTGCCTTGAGTTTGCCTGGTGCTTGGTCCTTTCTAAGATGTTTGTTTGTTTGTTTGTTTTGGCAAGAAAGTCCCAGTGTCCACATGGTATCCTGCTCAGTGCATTACGTCAGGAGGTACATGGCATCCAGATGTCTTTTACTGGTGGCATTAACCTCAGCCCTCGGTTATGGTGGCTGTGCCAGGTTTCCCACTGTAAAGTGACTACTGTAAAATGACCATTTTCCCCTCATAATTAATACATATCTGGGGTACACTACTTGATACAATGCAAATATGTTATTCACAATTGTTGACCCCACTGACTTGACTCTGTCAAACCATAGCCTGCAACAGTCATTGCTGTGGTGTTCATGGGATGGATTTCCATTCCCCTCACTCCATCTGTGCTGCTTTATTGGAATTCTCTGGTAAGAATTATCCCCTTTTGCTTACTATGTAGTCATTATCCTTATCAGTATCAGAAGAGATCGATTTTTACTTAAAAAAATAATAAGTTTCAGAGCTAAGGAGACAACTCAGTCAGTAAAGTGTTTGTTCAACAAACATGAAACCTAAATTCAGATCCCCAGCACCCATGTGAAAGCTGCATGAGTCTGTAACCCCAAAGCTTGGGGGGTGGCAAGCAGCTCCCCAAAGCTCACTGGCCAGGTAGGGTGTTGAATTGGTGAGCCCCAGGCTCGATGAGAGGTATTGTCTGAAAACTAATGTGACTAAGGAAGACAGCAGACACACTAGACTCTGGCTTGCAAGTGAACAGAGAGAGAGAGAGAGAGAGAGAGAGAGAGAGAGAGAGAGAGAACTCAAGAAAAAAACCCTGAAGAGACAATAGCTAATAAGCCACAATTGGCACACACAAGATGTCAGATGATAACCACGCACAAACATCACACTGTAGTATACCACAGTCACTGCTGACAGCCAACGCAGGGACATACTCTGGTCAGCAGCAAAAGAAATCTGTCCTGCTATATTTGGGATCTGATGTGACCCCCTTAAAAAAATGATTGTGTTGGAACCTTTAAGATCAAAGAATCACCAGGTAGTACAGTAAGTATACTTTCTGACCCTGGGGCTTGCTTACCACAATTATGAAAAAAGCCTCCACTTACTATAGCCCATCAGGGTGAACGCTCCAATGAGCATGATTCCAGTCTGTAGAGCATCTGTGTAGATCACAGCAGCCAGTCCACCTGCAGAGAGGCACACAGGTGAGGATCGGGGACTAATATGGAGCTCAAGGGAGCCCACAAGGTAGAGGTCCCACAGGAGATTTCTTAGGGTTGAAGGGTTGCAAAAATGACTACCTTAGCTCTTCCCTGTGCGCACGAACATTTTGCAGCACTGCTTTGAAACTGCACTTTTCATGCTGAGGTAAAGTTAATTTCGGTGCTTTTGTGATACAGGCCTGGCCCTGTGATACACTGTGACCAATAGAAGAGGGTGCAAGTGCTTGTGTACAGTTCCACACCTCGCCTTCAGGGAGCTCTAGAACCTTGTTTTCTCTCATGTTGCCCAGAGAACAGCATGCTTTAAGAAGCCCACTCTAGGGAACTGTGGTGGCACATGCCTGTAATCCCGGAACTTGGGAGGTGGAGGCACAAGGATCAGGAGAGCTTCAGGAGAGCTCCTGGCCAGCCTTGGTAACACAAGACCCAGTCTTAAAACAATAACAATTAGCAAACAAGTCCTAAGCTCTGTCGTAGAGCACTTGCTGAGTACACTTAAGGTCTTGGGTTCAATCCTCAGCTCTGTTTAATTTAATGGAGGGGAAACTACTGTCTATAGCCCAAGCCAACCAGCCAGTTGACAGAGCCTGTCTGTTTCTGCCAGCTGACCAGGTGTCACCTAACTTCCCTTCCACAAAGCTGAATGAGACCAGCATATCAGGCACCCAGGCAACCCTTGGAACTATGGCATTAGCGAACTATTGTTTAAGCCCTCCAGTGTGTGTGTGTCACATGGCAGTTCCTCATGGATACACAAAGGGGTCTTTGAACCATAGGCTTCAAACTCTAAGCATTTTTAATTTTTATTTTATTTAAAAATTTTTAGATTGGGGCTGGAGAGATGGCTCAGCGGTTAAGAACACTGGTTGTTCTTGCAGAAGAAGACCCAGGTTCGCATCCCAACACCCACATGGCAACTAACAACTGTCCATAATTCCAGTTCCAGGGGATCCGACAACCTCTTCTGACCTCTGCGGCATTGCACGACATGGGTATACTTACCTACATGCAGGCAATACATGCATACACATAAAATAAAAATAATAAATAATTTAAAAAAATTTTAGATTAGCATACACAGTATTAGGTTTCATTATAGCATTTTCAAACGAAATGTGTTCTTAATTCTCCGCTCCACCTCTACCACCCCCTGGCGTCCCTCTACCCCAGCATCCTTCCTTGTAATGTGTGTCCTGTGCCCTCTCCCCTCTTTCAGCCCCTCTTTTTCCCTTTCACGAACACCTTTATCATTCTCTAAAATTATTTTCAAGATTTTCTATTTTATTTTTAAACGTTTTATTGCATTTATTTATTTACTTATTTATGCGGGGGCAGGAGGATATGTGCCATGGTGCTTGTGTGGAGGTTAGAGGACAACTTGGGAGACTCAGTTCTCTCCACCGTGTGGGTTCCAGGAATTAAGCTCATGCTGTCAGCCTTGGTGGCAAGCACCTTTACCCCCTGAACCATCTCTCCAGCCCCAAAACTTTATTTTTATTTTTTTATTTTTATTTTATGTATATGAGTGGCTTGCCTGTATGGCTATAAGTGCGCTACGTGCATGCAATGACCACAGAGGTCAGAAGAGGGCATTAGATCCCCTGGGATAGGAGTTACCGATGGTTGTTAGCTGCTATGTGGGTGCTTAAAACCAACTGAGGTCCTCTGGAAGAGCAGCCAGTGCTCTTAACCACTGAATCATCTCTCCAGCCTCCCCCCACCAGCACCTATTTATTTTATTTTATTTGAAACAAGGTCTCCCGGTAGCCCAAGATGGCCTGGATCTCACTATGTAGACCAGGCTGGCCTGGATCTTACAGAGATTTGCCTGCCTCTGCCTCCTGAGTGCTGGAATTAAAGGTATGTGCCTCCATGCCCAGTTCTCAATACCTTCTTTAAAAACATTTTTTAAAAATGTGTATGAGTATATTGTCTGCATGTATGTAAGTGTACCCATGTCGTGCAATGCCTGGGGAGGTCAGAAGAGGATGTCAGATCTCCTGGAACTGGAATTATGGACAGTTGTTAGCTCCCATGTGGGTGCTGGGAATTGAACCTAGGTCCTCTCCAAGAGCAACCAGTGCTCTTAACCACTGAGCCATCTCTTCAGCCCCAACATCTTTTATTTTTAATGTTGGAAAAAAGAACACATGTTCTAGGTATTCAGAACATCTATAGGGTTCTTGAACACTATCACAGGCCTAAGAGGATTCTTACTGAGTTTGTCCCTAGAAAAACCTTTGTATTGGTGATAAGCCATCAGCATGTGGACAGGGCAGTCTTTCCATTCTCTTCCCTGTGTCTCCCTGTATCTAAGGAGGAAGAAACACTTATCTGTTATCTGATACAAACCTGTTTACCAGAGGGCAAATCATTGTGCAATTTAAAAAAACAAAACCTCAAGAAAAACATGTACATGGGTGTGGTGTCCTTAGCTTGCCCTTCCTGGTCAGCAGGCATGGAATCCTCTCAAGTGGGAGAGGACCTGGCTTGAAATCTGGCCCCAGTTCCTGCTGTTCTCTTCAATGGACCAGAAGTCCTGAGAACATAGTTTGGGACTCATTAGACTCATCCTTATTTCTGTATTAAAGCTATTGAACACTGGCCACTTGCCAGGCACCACAGTGAGCATTTTGTTTCATTGGTCATAGAATATCTGGTGAGCTTTCTACCAGGTCCTATGTGTTAATCAAATGATGTTCCTCCCCTCATAGAGCCCACAGCCTCATAGAGGAGACAGACCCCCCTCCAAATGAGGAACTGAAAGACACACTGTGGTGATAACTAGCCCACTCCTGTCTTCATGATCTGAGCACTTGGCTTCCATTATCTCTGAGAACTTTTTGAAACTTTCCATATTAGCGGCCCACATGTGTTAGGTTATGTCCTTTCCCTGGTTAGAGCCTGCAGTGGTGTTCCAAGGCACTTGGTACCAACTCTAAGGCCTTTTTAATGCCTTCAGAGCTCTGGTCATTTCCCTTCATCAGGCCAACTGCAGAAACCAGCAACAGTGGGTACTTTTACATAAATGGTACCCTGAGTACAGTAAGCACGACCACATAACCACTGGCCCACAGGGCCTTACCCACTTTTCCCCCTGCTATTCTGTAGATGAGGGAAGTGCACCTTCATCCCACAGACGCTACAGTAGCTCTTCCCTCTGCCTGGAATTCTCCTAAGTGTCATTTGTTTGTTTGAAAGATCACCTTTCAACTTTAACTTTATTGCCAATGTTCAGCCCTTAACTGATTAAAATCTTCCCATTATTAGTCTCCATCCCCTCAATCACTTACCAGGTTGTTATAATGCACTCTGATATTATAAATCAATTTCCCTGCCATTATCCATTTCCTCATATCCACTAAAATGGAAGTTCTGCTGGGATCAAGTTTTTGAGGTTTTCTCTTGTTAATTTGGTTTTGGTGGTTTTCTTTTCTTTTTCTTTTTCTTTTTCAGTTGGAGGGGTCTTTTGAGACAGGAGCTATCTCTCTGTATAGCCTGGGCTGGCCTTGAACTTACGATTCTCCTGCTTAAAGCTCTCAAGTGCTGGATTTACAGGAAGGAGCCACCACACCCAGCTTTGAGGTAGAGATTTTTGTCTGTCTGTCTGTTTGCTCTATGTGTGTGATCCACACATAAATGTGTACATATATGTGTATGTACATGCATGCATGTTTGTGGAGAGAACTGCATCAAGAGGAGGCAGAGAAGGATGAATCTGAGTATAGATTAACAGTTACTTGAAGGCCTACTATGTGCTAGGTGTTTTTCTAGGACACAAATCTGAGGAGGGGGAGATAAAACTGCCTAACTCTAGGTTCCAGGATCACAGTAGTTCATTACCCAGCTTCATTTGTATCATGCATGTGAATTCACATTCTCAGCATTTGGTAGCTTCTCAATCCATCCTTCTGGAATCCAGAAATAGGAGAACGTCATGTAGCTGTGGCATGTTTTGTTTATTTGTTGAGAAGGGCCTCCCTACATAGCCAGCTGGTCCCAAACTCATAACCCCCCTGCTTCAGCTTCCTGAGTATTGGGATGATGGAATGGATACACACCATCTTGTCTGCCTTCACTGTGGTACATTTAAATAATTCCTTTTTCTTAACAAGCGACCCTCATCCTTTTGGATAATGGCTTAAAGAAAGTGATTGTTGGGGTAATGGAGTCAGGTTTAATGGATAAGTGGTCCTAGCACACTAGAATACCGGAAGATGTGCCAAGAGGAAGAGGATGGCCCATCAACTCTCTAGCATCACCCAGGCCATGTCCCATGATACCTGCAACAGTGTATAGAGCTGTGATGGCCAACAGCCCTGCTATGGCCAGGTACAGGTCCAGATGTAATGACTGCTGGATGAAGATGGCACCTGCATACATGTCTACCTGTGGGATGGAAAGTCAATGGATGAGTGGACAAGTGGAGGGATGTCTGGATGAACATTCTCAGCAGTTTCCCCAAGACCACGCCCTCTCCCAGGTTCTGATAAATGTGGAAGAGCTATACACACTTCTTCCTTATCCAACTCATCCAGGATCAGAGGGCTCAAGCTGGAGCCCTGTGGGCAGCTAAGTTTGAGACCCCTGTCCTAGGCTCAGGCAGCAACCTTATGGCCTTCATGGGTCTTATTTGGGTCTTCCTATACATCCCCTTCTACACTACGACCTTCGTGCCACCACCAGAGTGACAGCATCTTTCTCCCCCTTAAAGTTCTTGAGTGTCACCAGGCATGGTGGTGTATACCTTTTAATCCCAGCACACAGGAGGCAGAGGCAGGCAGATCTCTGTGAGATCGAGGCCAGCCTGGTCTGCATAGTGAGTTCTAGGCCAGCTGGGGCTACAGGGACACCCTGTCTCAGAAACAACAGCAAAAAAGTTCTTGAGTGGTGCTCTACAGCACATCCAAGCTAGAGCCACACACCAAGCCCTTTAAAATTTGCCTGCATTTGACCTCTTATTCTTCACTTGCTCTGCATTCCCAGGACTTCAGGCTCTCAGAAGTATTTCCTCTCCCCAACCTGCCATATTCACCTGCATCTTTGGCTTGTGCTGGTCCACCCATCTGGAATGCCAATGCCCCTATTTCCAACTGGTGAATTCCTCTTAAAGTGTCTGTAAGTCTCTCCTTACGCCTGTAGCTTCCCGCCAGACTGTAAGTAAGCATCCTAGAAAAGGTGCCTTGAGTCTGGAGCTGGGATTGTCAGTTGTTGCTGTTTGTACTGAATTTCTTCTGCCCCTCTTCCATGCTAGAAAGGATCTTCTCCATCCCCAACAAGTGATATCTGGAGCCGAGTGCCCCAAGCAGCCTGTACCTGGAGGTGGCAGTGGATCTGGTCTTTGTCATGTCCCTGAGATTTGCCCAACCAAAGGTCAGGGTGAGGTGGTCCCAGTCAGCCACCACTCCCTTATCTCAGGAGGAAGATTACAGTCCTATTCAAGGGCTGTGAGTCTGGTTCTTGGATCTCCATTCAGTGACCCCACCATCATGCTGAGCTGTCACCAAAGAAGCTTTGGCAGGGACAGGGCAGGGAGTCCTAGGCTCTGCTTGGCCTTTCCATTAGCTCCTTCTACTCATCTTACTTTCTCCCCCTTGCACCTTCCTCTAACTTCAAACCTGCCAAAGAGGGGAAAGTAGGTGGGGAGGAACTCCCAGAAACAGACTGACTTAGCTTCTCCCACGCTGCAGGACTATGACCTGGCTGTGGCTCCATCTTACCGAGATCTTGGTGAAAATGTAGATGAACAAGTAGAGCACAGCCAGAGTGATGGAGATCCTGTTGCCCCCGAAGCGTCTCCTTAGGTATTCTGGCATTGTCGTTACCTGGGAGTGGCATCATCTGGCTGACTTGGGGCTGATACCTCCCCAGCCCAAACCAGTCCTTCCCCATTCTTTCCTCTCCAAACTTAGAAGCACAGAGGTGTTGGGCTTCTCCATGGGAGACTTAAGAACGATGAGGAGGGCCTGGAGAGATGGCTCAGTAGTTAAGAACACTAGCTTCTCTTGCAGAGGACCTGGATTCAGTTAGTAGCACCCACATGGCAGCTAACAACCATCAGTAACTCCAGTTCCAGGGGATCCAGTGCCCTCTTCTGGCCTCTGTGAGCACTGCATGTATGTGGTGCCCTTACATACATGCAGGCAAAATACTCATACACATAAAATAAAAATAATAAATAAAATATTTTTTTAAAAGAAGGAGGACATGGAAGACAGTAATAGGGTGTGGAGGCATCATGGTTCTATGCAGGACTGTGCACCCAACTACTGGGTGTCTACCTTTAATTAATTAATTAATTAATTAATTAATACTGTATGTACATGCAGACATGCCACAGTGTACATGTGGAGGTCAAATGGTAACTTTTGGCTTGATTCTTTCACCATGTGGGTCCTAAGGATTGAGCTCAGGTTGTCAGGCTTGACAGCAAGTACCTTTACCTGCTGAGCCATCTCATTGCCCCACCCCCAGCTACTGGTAAGTGTTCCCCATCTGTGGGGGTTTGAATAAGAAGTATCCCCAATAGGCTCCAAATATTTGAATGCTTGGCCCCAGTTGGTGGTGCTGTTTGCAGAGGTTTAGAGAGCCTGGCCTTGCTGGAGGGAGCATGTCACTGGGGTGAGCTTTGATACGTCACAGCCTTGGCCCATTTTGAGTTTGCCATCTCTGTTTCCTAGATGGGCTTGATGATGTGAGCACTCAGCTTCCTGCTCCGGCCACCTCTGCTCCCTGCCACGATGGATTCGTACTTTTCTGGGACCATTAGCCAAATAAATGCCTCCTTATAAGTGCCTTCATCATGGTGTTTTATTACAGGCACAAAAAAACAATGAATATACCATCCCAAATTTGCTGAAGACTGAATTTCTTGGCTTAATTTTTTATCTTTAAGCTAGCTTTTTATTTAAATAAGTTTATCTTAAAAGGAAACTTTATTATTTTTTTTACAGTGCTGGGAATTGAACCTGGGTCTCTTGCATGTTAGGTAAGTATTCTACAACTGAGCTACATTCTGATTCCTTTCTTGATATGTCATTAGTTTATAGGAAGACTACTGATTTTTGTGTGTTAATTTTGTATACTGCTACTTTGCTTGTGTTTATCATCTTTAGGAGTTTTCTGGTTCAATTCCTGAAAAGGAAACTTTTAATCACTACTGTAAATGGAAATTTTAAGGGAACCTATAAAATGAATATAGGAATAACATAACAATTCATTTGTCTTCTATTTTCTTTTGGAAACTTACTCTTGCTGAGAGCACTTCACCAAGCCCAGAGACAAATTTTTCCCGAAATTAGACACAGTGGGATATTAGAAAGAGGAGGAGGAGGAAAAGGAGGAGAAGGAGGGGGATATGAAGCTGGGAGGGGGACGGACATGTTGGGGAAGTCAAAAGGGAATTGGAGAGGGGAAATAGGAGTGCATATAATCATAGTGCATTGTATAGGGGGGTAGAGAGATGGCTCAGTGGTTGGGAGCGCTAGTTGCTCTTGCAGAGGACCCAGGTTCAATTTCCAGCACCCACATGACAGCTAACAAGCATCTGTAACTCCAGTTTCAGGGAATCTGATGCCCTCTTCTGACCTCCACAGACACTGCATGACATGGGTACACTTACATACATGCAGTCAATACACTCATACACATAAAATAAAAATAGTAAAAAAAATATTTAAGAAATAATAACATATTGTATAAATACATGAAGTTGTCAGAGAATGCATTGTAAAAGCTTTTCAAAAAGAGGAACAAGAGAGAGCATTGCTTAAGTGCTAAGAGCACACTAGCTGCACGCAAGACTTTGCCCTTTCATCCCCTGATAAGACCAGGGTATCTCATACTGTACCCCATAAATATGTGCAATGATTGCATATCAGTTAACAGCAAAATAAAACTCACTTCAAAAATTAAGAAAAAAAAAAGGCCAAGCAAGACAATATACACTTGTGATTCCAGTACTTAGAAGGCTAAGGTGGAAGGAGAGCGAGTTCAAGGCCATCCTAGGCTACACAGGAAGAATCTGTTTTAAAAGAAAGAGAGCAATCGAGCAAAAGGGGGGCAGGGAGGGAAGGAGGGAGGAAGGAAGGAAGGAAAGTAAAGGGGAAAAGCAGAAAATAAAAGAAAAAACAATAAAATGAAAACAGAACAAAAACCCAGAAAGGCAATGGAGAGGCAGGTTTCACTCCATGTTGCAGTAGTTGGCCCCACAGCCCACACTGTCAATCAGACTCAGAAATCCCCATCTGTGCACACTCCAGACATTGAGAACTTGGTCTGCAGGTCAGCTTTAGCCTGCTCATGCAGAGACACAGGGCTTCTAGGAGCAGAATGTGCAGACTCAAGAGAGGGCAAGAAAGAGTCTGGAGAGATGGTGCAGAGGTTTAGAACATCAGGTGCTCTTATAGAGGACCCGGGTTTGAACAGTTCTTAGCACGCACATGGCAGCTAACAACCATCCGAAACTCCAGTTTCAGGGTATCTGACACCCTCTTCTGGCCTCTTGTAGGCATTGCATAACACAGATGCCCTTACACATAGGCAAAACACTCATACACTTAAATAAATTGGAGAGAGAGAGAGAGAGAGAGAGAGAGAGAGAGAGAGAGAGAATGAACAGAGGGCTTCATCCAAGAGGCCATGGGTTCTGGCAGCTTCTGGATGCCCTGGGTGAGAGCCTGACAGCAAAAGCTGTAACTACCAGCTGGACATGGTGGCACACACCTTTGATCCCAATACTTGGGAGGCACAGGGAGGCAGATTTCTGTGAATCCAGGCCAACTATGGCTATAGGGAGACCCTGTCTCAAAAAGATCGAAAAAAAGATATCACTACCACACAGGACACTCCAGGGGCTGGGCCACACTACTCAGAACCATAATCTGGGTTGTACTTTTTTGGGGGTGTGAAATGTTTTTTCTCTCTCCATCACTTCAGCTGACTGTAACCTCCATTCCCATACTTGGAATTCACTCTGGGACCTCAGACCAACAAATATCATTCCACAGAGGTCCAGATCATGGGTGGAGAAGGATGGAGTGGTGGTGAAAGTCAGAGTACATGTTTCTACATTTGATGATTCATAACTTGGTAGCGTTATCCAAAGGCAGTGGAAGCTGGAAAGCAGGCCTGGTTGGAAGAAGGTCACTGGGGCACACCCTGAGGGTGGATCCTGTCTCCAGCCTCCATGGCTTCCTGCATGCCATGGAGTGGCCTCCTCCACCATGCCTTCCCTCGCCCGTGTTTCTACCTTGCCACAGGTCTCAAAGCAAGGGAGCCAGCTAATTTAAAACGTGTGAAACAGTGAGCGAAGCAAGTCCTTTTCCCCTTTTGTTTCAGGTATTTTGTTGCAGTGATAAAAAATGACTCACACAGACTGGATTGTAACTTGTTTCAACAGTAAGTTGTTGCTGGGTGTGGCGGCACATACCAGTGATCCCCAAATTTGGGAGACCAAAGCAGGAGGATAATGAGTTTGAGGCTAGCCTGGGACACCTAATGAGACCCTATCTCAAAAAAATAAAAATAGCCAGGCATGGTGGTGCACACCTGTACTCCCAGCACTCAGAGGCAGAGGTAGGCCGCTCTCTGTGAGTTCAAGGCCAACCACAGCTACATAGTGAGAGCTCGTCTCAAAAAATGTTTAAATTTAAAAATGAAAGTGTAGAGGCTGAAGAGATGGCCAGGCAGTTAAGAGCACTGACTGCTCTTGCAGAGGACCTGGGTTTGATTCCCAGCACCCACATGGCAGCTAACAACCATCTGTAACTCCAGTTCTGGGGGATTCCGATGCTCTCTTCTGCCTCTGTGGGCATTGCATGACATGGGTGCACTTACATACATGCAGGCAATATGCTCATACACAAAAATAAAAGTAGTAAGTAAATTATTTTTTAAAAAATAAAGTAAAAGGGGCCAGGCGTGGTGGCGCATGCCTTTAATCCCAGCACTCGGGAAGCAGAGGCAGGCAGATCTCTGTGAGTTTGAGGCCAGCCCGGTCTACATAGCAAGGTCCAGGCTAGTTGGGGCTACAGGGAGACCCTGTCACAAAAAGACAAAAAAATAAAGTAAAAGTTGTATATCAACAGCAGAATCTGAATGAATGTTCTGGAATATAGGGGCACTCACTGTACAGTGAGGGTAAGTGTTGATGTATATTTGATTTTTTAAAAGATTTGTTTTATTTTCATTTGTGTATATGTTTGTCTCTATATGTATGTCGTGTGTGTGTCAGAAGGAGGTGACAGATCACCTAGAACTGGTGTTACAGGTGTGGGTGCCGGGGACAGAACTCAGATCCTCTGCAAGAGCAGTGTGCGCTATTAATCACCAAGCCGTCGCTCCAGCCCCTTGGGGTTCTTTTTTTTTTTTTCATATTAAAATATTTGAAAAAAAAAAAAAAAAGAGCTCCAGGAACATCCTGGGGCAGTCCCAGGGAGAATAAACCTTATCTCATCTCAGGAAGCAAGGGATGGGATTCTGATCCTCATGAAAGTCCTGCCTGGGCCTTCTGATTTGCTGCAAGGCAAACCCAGCAGGAAAGTTCCAGAATTATCTCATACTGAACTCTGACACTGTCAGGAAAAATGCAGGGAGAGGTTCAAGCAAGCCTGTCTATTACACTGTGGGAGGTAAGGCCTAATCAGAGTACAGTGGGCATGCCAGTCCACTCAGATAAACGTGCCAAAAAGGACGCTCTGGGCAAGCACTATCTAACCCGTGAATGTCAGACAACTGCCAGCTGGGTTTGGGTCCAGAGCCTTCACTAGCAATTGAACTGGACTCCTCACTGGCTGACATCTTCACTAGCGATTGACCCTGGGTC